AGTTTTAAAAATGATTGATGTTAGCCCTGGCCCATGTGACTTAGTTGATTGGAGCATTGTCCCAAGCACTGAAAGGTCAAAGTCAATGGTTCAATTTCCAGTCAGGGTACATACCCAGATTGCAGGTACGATTTTCTATCGGGGCATATGCAGTAGGCAACCAATCGATGTTGCTCTCTTACATCGATATCTCTCTCTTCCCTCCCTCTGTCTCTCTAAACTCAATAAAATAAAATTTAAAACGTTAAAAAAAATGATTGATGTTTTAAAAAAGGTTTCAGAATGACTGTTGGTTGTTACTAAAGTGAAAAATATGGTGTGATCCCAAGGCCTGATTTGTCTGGTTCTGGAGCTCAAGGGTTTGAATTAAGGCTCCTTGCACCCATAGACGTCCGTTTTTCAATATTGATTGAGCCTTCCCTCTGCCCTATAAATTGGCAACATATTTTTGTAGGGCATTCTTGTCTATAAGTGTCTTGAGGCAGAGTGAGGCTGGGTATTTGTTGGGAATCTCTTGGCTTAGCAGACAGAGGAATCTCATGGCAATTAGGGTTTGGTGGCTAAAGAAAAGGGCTATAGTGCAAAGAGAAGACTATTTTCACGTGATAAGTCTGGGCCATCCTCAGACTGCTGTCTGTACTGCTTGAATGGCAGGTAACATTGAATTGTAGCAAATAGCTCTCCCTATTTGTTTCTAGCTTTGAAGACATTTATTCCTCTGGCTATAGGCTGAGGAAACCTGGCAAGCTTAGAAGGTGCACAGAGCATGACAGAAGCACTTCTGTACAGCAGCTGTGTCAAGGAGGAGGATCTGGAAAAGTGGACTTGCTGGGGATGAGGTACATTTTAGAAGTTCTCCACTTAAGCACCATAACTGTCTTCTCCAGCATAGCATATTTAGGTTTTTTAGGCCAGCATGGCTTACACACTGTCCTCTGGCTCTGGGCTGTATCAGTTTCACTACTATCCTTCTTGACAATGTCTTTTGGGGACAAAGAAATCTTGAGGGACCTTGGTAGGGAGCCCTCCATCACTCTTCTCCACCTTCTGAAGGCAAGAAACTTTCCTCTTAAAAGAGTCAGTGAGAGCTCCCAGCCAGTTTTTTGAAAAAGGCCTGTGAATTGTTAATGGAAATGCACTGGGAAAGAAGGAGGGGCTTGGGTACTTTGAAGTGCTTGTCTAGGTGTCTTGTACAGTATCTTATTTAATTGCATCTTCACAGCCTTCGTGTGAAGGAGCTTATCAGTTAACTTCAATTGTGTGTAACAAAACCCCAATTAAGTTGGCTTAAATAAGGAAACTCACATGACAAGAGGTCATTTAATATGGCTCCGAGTTTGGTTAATTCAGTGGCTTGATAATACCAAAAACCAGGTTCTTGAAATCTTTTTACTGTGCTGTCCTCTGTGTTGGTTTACGCTCATGCTAGTTCACCTCGGAGTCCCAAGATGACTACCATAATCCCAGAAGGAAATGCTAACAAAACAATGTCTTACAGAAGAGGGACTAATTTTTTCCAGTGTTTCATTTAAAGTGAGAAAATCCTTGGAAGCCCAGCAGATCTGGCCTCATGTCTCATTTGCTAGAAATGGGTCATTTTCCCACTCCTGTCATTGGCAGAGCAAATGAGATCATCCATCATGAGTGGCTGAGATTAATTAGGGGTTACCCTCTAAATCATGTGGATTAGAAAGACAAGTCATGTCTGTTAGGTGAGAAAGAAAGGGATAAGGGTTTGGGTAGGGATCCAGCCAACAGTGTCTGCTCTACGTAGGTCCTTGGGTTTTTAAGGATCAGGAATGTGAGGCTAAGAGTGAGTGACTTTTCTAGGATCACAGCCTCAGCTCTGACTGTCTCTAAAGCCAGTATGTTTTTATTTTTAATATATTTTTTGAAAAATATATTTTTATTGACTTCCAAGAGAGGAAGGATGAAGGAGTGAGATAGAAATATCAATGAGAGAATCATCAATTGCCTGCTTCCTGCGTGCAATTGAGCCTGAACTCCATGACCTCCTGGTTCATATGTCGATGCTCAACCATTGAGCACACTGGCTGGGCGAAAGCCAGTATGTTTTATATTGTGTCCTGCTGCAGTACAAAGTACACCTGACCCTTGAACAACACAGGCTTAAACTGCACAGGTGTTTTTTTTTAATATACAGATATTTTTTTCAATAAGTATTTAGCCTTCTGTATTTTTCAGGTTTCCCACCTGCAGAGTCAACCAGTTGCGGATTGAAACAGTATTTTCAATCCCCCATTGGAATTCAATATATGTTGAGAGCTGACTGTATGCATTGTTCTACACCATTTTATATAAGGGACTTGAGCATTCTTGGATTTTGGTATATGCAGGGGGTCCTGGAACTAATCCCTGAAGGAGGATCATAGTTAAGTCTTGGGAGAGTCAAAAGTTATATGCTGGTTTTCAACTGTGTGGGGATCGGCGCTCCTATCCCCTGTGTTATTCAGGAGTCACCTGTAGCTTGATTTCTGCTGTTTAAAAACTTCTGGTCTAGAAGAGATTTTAAACTCAAGTGTCACATCAACTAACTTGAGCCTATATGAGAGGAGAGGATTCCATCCAATTGTTCCCCTTATCCAGTGATGGTGTTTATCTAGGACAGGAAGCCTAGGAATGCAACATTCAGCGGGCAGTGATTTTGTTGCCCCTGATATTTCTGTACTATTTCATACCCCCTTCTGAGAGCAGCCAGTGCCTCAAGGGATAACGGCAGAGTTTTAGCCTACTTCCTGAGCCCCATTGAAGCCCACTCATTCATCCATCCCTCCCACAGCTATTTACAGAATGCTGCTATGTGCCAGGCACTGGCACTGTTCTAGGCATTGGGGCTGTAACAGTTAACAAGATGCACAAAGACTCTCCTGTATGCCCTTAAGAGCAGACTCATTTGGGAATGAGGTTATCAAAAAATAGTGTGTGCATATGGCCAGGAGTAAGCCTCATACAATTTTGCTTTTGGCAGAATCATTCAAACTTTTTTGCTTTCTCACTTCCTGATATTACAGTTCATGAGCCTTTCATATGGACTCACTATAAAGAGGTGGGGTCCCTGGATAGCAGAAGTAGATGGTAAGGCATCATTGACATTTGCTAAATTGGATCCAATTGAAAGGTCCAAATCCTGTCAGTGTCAGTGTCAACAAAGAAGACAGTGGCCTACTTCCAGAGTTCATCACCATCACCATGTCTACTCTGGACACCGAAGAAGCCTGCATCATTAGAAAACAGTTCCAGAATTAAGATTGAAGGTGTGAGAAACCCTTGCACAATAGTTGGTATTTACTCTGTTTGATGCTCCCATAGACTTGGATTGTGTACGGTCAAGGATTGAAAATAATTTTGAAGATACAGTATTTCATCTGGTGACACTAAATTTGACATTTTTAAATTTGGGAGGGCATTTTCAGTAAAAGGTGTAAGGATGGAAAGGAAGAAATTAGAATTGGAATCAGATGTGGGTTTGAATCCAACTTATAAAGTGTTTACATGTAGGTGCCTCTAATAAGTGCTTTAAAATAGTTAATATAATAGCATTTTAGTAAATGCTAAAAGAGTAACCAAAACAATAACTACTTTTTAAATTCACTAACATTTAGGGAGGGTTTTCTTTGTGCTTTAATTACATTTCCTAACTTCACAATTCTAAGGTACATGTTATTCTCTCCATTTTTTAGATTAGGAAACTGAAGCCCAGAAACTCAAGTGACTGATCCAAAGTCCTACAGTGATTGGGGCGTGGGGGGGAAGCACACTTAAGATAGGGTACTTTTTCTTCTTCTTTGTCCTAAGCTTTAATAAAAGAATGAACTTTGATTTTAAAAAGTCTAACCATTACTGATGCTTAAAGACATAGGGAAAAGTCATGAATCATTTATCAGCCTGAGTAAAATAGTATCACCATTAACGTTTACATTCTAGTGGGAGAGAGAGCAGTAGTAAAAAGAAATTACAGATTAGGACAGGATTACTGTAATAGAAAAACAGGTGTCCCACCATACCCGAAAAGCCCTCTCAGAGATAAATCTTAAGTTGAGGTATAAAAAGGCGAGAGTGGAAAGAGGATTCCTGGCCAAGGAATCGAAGCAGAGGACCCCAAGCCGGAAAGAAGCGCTTTGCCATTGGGGGAAGTCGAAGCAGACCGTGTAACTAGCATAGTGATGAGGTTTTGCTTCAGAAAGGCGGGGATCCCGTTAAGCCCAGCGTTTGGACCCTGGAAAGGAGTTTGGGTCTTCTCAGTGTGACCAAGCGCTATTAAAAGAGTTTTAAACGTGGAAATTATTCGATCTGATCTTTGTGTAATGTCCTGTTTCTTAATCATCTTTTCCCAAGCTAAATGGTACATTCCCCCCTGCCCCCCCCCCAGCCCCCCCCAAAAAATGTGGTTGACAAAGCAACCCCGTAGACTTAAGAGTGATCAGTGGCGGTTACTTGATCGCCTGCTGAGGAGGCGCGTGGGGCCGCCCAAACGACGTGGAGGAAGGGACTCAGCGATGAGGGCGGCCCAGCCCAAGCCTTGCCCTGCTGGGGCCCTCAGCTGCAGGTCCGGGCTCTGCACCTCGGACCAGCCCCTCCAGGTAGGCTCCTCCCCAGAGAAGCTACGCCGCCCTCCGCGACGTCGCCTCAGGAAGACCGGGTGGAGCTAGGAGCGTAGTCCCTGCGACTGTCTCGGGCTGGCACAAACCAGCGGAAGACCGTAGAAGGGCCGGCCCCGCCCGCACCCCGCCGCTTTGAGCCCCAGGCCCCGCCCAGACTCGGCGCCAGCGCCCCGACGCCCCTGCATTGCTCGCACGGACGACGCGCCCGCACGGCTCGGGACCGCGAGGCCTGGGCGTCGGGCTAGCCAGAGCAGCGGAACTGACGCAAGCGGGCTTCCGGGGCCGGCCCCCGGGGAGGGCGGCGGCGGCGCCGCAGTCGTGGAGAGGCAGTGGGAGCGTGAGCGGCCACGGGCGACGCTAGTACCTCACCGAGCTCACCTCTCGTCTCGCGCTTCTCTCCTAGTCGCGTGCTGCCTCCCGCCGGCGGCTCCTCCCGAGGAGAGTTTTCGCCGCGGTGACTGAGAAGAGACTGTGGTCACCCCGCCCGGTGGCCAAGTGAGACTGCCTGTCGCACCGCGTCGCCCCCTGCGCCGCCGCCTTGCCCCCAGTGGCGGGCGCCCTTCTCGCTCGAAGCACTCCCCCCAGCTCCATGAATGGAAATCGGCTCCGCAGGTGAGTGTCAGAGCTGTTGGCCGGGTCAGCGGGGGGGGGCATCGTCGCTCCCTCAGCCCCGACCCCGGTGTGCGAGGTCCGAGGTCCGAGGTCCGGGCGTCTCCTCCCCTCCTCCGGCCCCTCCTCCACCTCCGCGTAGCCCCGCCGCAGTTCCCCGGAGCCACCGAGTGGGCGAAACTGCGGGGAGGGGACACTGCTCACAGGATTGAAGTTTGAGGCGCTCCCGGCGGTGTACCTCCTGGAGTCCAGAAGGGTTTGCCATCGCTTTCGTATTCGGGTTGGGGATGTAACGGTGTGTGCTCCCGTCGAGGCGCTGGGCGCCTATTACTCACCTCTTAAGGTGGTTATGTAGATAGACTGAGAGAACAGACGAGGATTAAGTTTGGGTTTAGAGCAGCGTCAAATGCAAGATGGCATTTCTTCCATCCCCGAGCTCTCTTCTGATGTCCGTGGCAGCCTGGTTTATACAGGGTGGGGCAAAAGTAGGTTTACAGTTGTCCGTATGGAAAATAATACAATAATTAATAAACAAGAATAAACTGTTTTCGCGTCCTCACAACTGTACACCTACTTTTGCCCTACCCTGTAAGTTCTTGAGGCTCTTGGGAATGTCATATCAGGCTGGATCATTGCTGGCGTGAGGAGGTGAATCTTAAAATTGCTGACAGTATTTTATTTTTCATTCTCTGTTCCCTAGAGAAGAGTTGTCATATTCCTGGAAATTTGGCACTTAAGAAAACCGCTTTCTCTCCTTGGGAAAAACGATGGTCTTGAGGAAAAAATGCAATTTGGGCAGCATTTATCTTAAAAGAAAAAAGCAATCTTTATGGTTCTTAAGTAATTGAGGAACATAAAGTAGACATTACATAACAGTTTGCTTTCCAAAGGATCATTCATACTTGACATGCTAAATTTGTAAGTTTGCTTCATCCAGATTGTCACAGACTTATAAATTAATTTTCAAAATATTGGTGGGGCGGAGGGTGTCTTGTTACTAATGGTATCATAAGCCCCTGAATTTCACATCTCACTTTGCCAATTTGGGAGGTGCCTGAATATGAGATAAGAAAAGCTTATATAGCCGAAACCGGTTTGGCTCAGTGGATAGAGCGTCGGCCTGCGGACTGAAGGGTCCCAGGTTCGATTCCGGTCAAGGGCATGTACCTGGGTTGCGGGCACATCCCCAGTGGGAGATGTGCAGGAGGCAGCTGATCGATGTTTCTCTCTCATCGATGTTTCTAACTCTCTATCTCTCTCCCTTCCTCTCTGTAAAAAATCAATAAAATATATTTTAAAAAAAAAGAAAAGCTTATATAAAAGAAACTGGTGGTTTAATGTTAAATAATTTATTGACTAGGTTAAAGAGTATAATTGTAAAGTAGGTGCAAAAGCATTCCAATGGTAGAGGTGGGATGGGGAGTTTTATTACAAGTACTATTATATGGAGTTTTCTCTAATCAATTTGTGCCATTTCTCTTTTGCACCCTCCATTAAAAATATTTTTTTTTTGCCTTCTTCATATGTCCTTTTTTTAAGTCTCTCTCTCTCTCTCTCTCTCTCTCTCTCTATATATATATATATATATATATATATATATATATATATATATATATATATATAGAGGAAGGGGGAGGGAGAGAAAAGACAGAAGCATCATGAGGAGAGAGAATCATTAATCAGCTGTCTCCTGCATGCCCCACAATGGGGATGGAGCTGGAAACCCAGCATGTGCCCTGACTGGGAATCCAACTGTGACCTCCTAGTTCATGGGTCTTCACTCAACCGTTGAGCCACACCAACCGGCTTCATATCTTCTTAAAAAGGGAAAGTTTGTCTAGATTGTGAAAAGTTTTAGACTCTTATTTGTTTATCATTGGTTTGTGTTTTTCCAAAACTGTATCCTGCCTTTTTTTTTTAACTTTCTACTATACTTTTTAGAGACTGTGATGATTTGTGGATATAGGTGATTTTTACGTAACTTACGTAACTATCCTGTTGTCAAGCCTGGAAAACAAAACATAAAACTTAAAAACACTTTGTTAATCATCCTAATATTTCAAAAAAATTTCAAAGATATTTTTCTTTTTCTCCTTGGGGTTTTTTATATGAAATTATGCCCAGTATATGAACAACATCTTAGAAAATCCTTCTAAAGTCAAACCACCTAGTCAACTGTCCAACTAGCCAAGTATGATTCAGTAAATGCTCCTGTGAATTCTTGAGCTAAGAATTAGACATCTTGAAATGCAAAGTTTATTTTAAGTGCAGTTTATACATGATTGACTATAATCTCAAATGAAGATAAGGTATAATTGTCTTAAGGGTGTCATCATCAAAAACAAAATTTTCATTCTTCCTGTAACTTACATGCAATTTTTGCTGCACATGAAATTAAAACTATATATTAGGGAAAATGTGCAACTACGTTTTAAATCAAGAATTTGACAGATATATTGTTTGGTTTAAACTTTTTATTTTAACTTAGCATTTACTTTTTATTGAATTTATTGAGTGACATCTATTTTCTATATATATAAAAGCCTAAGTAACCTTTATGACTGAATGACCGGAACAACCAGTCGACCAGTCGCTATGATGCGCACTGACCACCAGGGGGCAGACGCTCAACTCAGGAGCTGCCCCCTGGTGGTTAGTGCGCTCCCACAGCCAACCTCCCATGGCCCCTCCCCCCAGCCAGCAGGGGGCGGGCGGGGGGAGTATAGGCCTCAATTGTCGGCCAGGCTGAGAGACCCCACCCGTGCACGAATTCGTGCACCATGCCTCTAGTTGGTTAATAAAATTATGTAGGTTTCAGGTATGCAGTTCTATAATACATCATCTGTATATTGTATTGTGTGTTTAGCACCCCAAGTGGATTTTGCATCTAAAATCTTTAATCATTTTAAATGTAAATGTTCTTTAATTGTCTATGAAATCAATGTTGGATCTTGGCTCTCCAAGTCTTTTCTAAGTTTTTCTTATGTGTGAATATCCTCAGACCTCTTATGACAAGATATTTTAATTTCTAATTGTTAAGTGGATACATAGAAAACTTAAATTTATTCACATTAGAGCCTTTGAATACAAATACTATGTAATTGTCTCTTGGTGAATCATTCCTCACTAAAAGTTAATATTTCTCTGTTCTTCCCTTTGCATGAAATCTTTTAAGTGATTTTTAAGGATATCCTATACAAACTACTGACCTAGTCCTATGTGAACTTTTATTTAAATAAAACTGGCACAATTGGTTTTTAAATAATAATAATCAACAGTTAGCATTTGAGCCTATCATTCCTTAGTTAGGAGAACTTCTAAGGAAATCCTATTTTTTATGGTTTAATTACAGCTGGACTAAGAGTATATGTTATGTTTTAGTTCCAAATAAAGTGGGGGTAGGGGAAACAAATATTCATTGAGGTTTTACTTCTCCTGAGGAGCTATTTTTTAAGACCATACTATTCTAGTTTGTTTTTTTAGGTAAAGTCAGACGACTGTTTAGGGCCGATGGAATTCTACTAGTCTTCTACCAATAGAAGAAAAAAATTTTACTTTTACCTTAAGTTAATGATACGCAAATTGATTTGAAAAGTTTGGTAATTGTCTTATATAGTCTTGCAAAAGTGAATAGACTATGTTTCTTAGTTGTACTTTTAAATTCGTGTTTGAACAATAGTTGTTTTAGGGCTCTGCATTCTTTAATAATAAAAATCAAGAAAAATCATTTGAGAACAAGTTTCAAAGAAACAAAATTTTATGTATGGAAGTTTGATTTAAATGAGGTTGGTAAAAGTGGATTCAAAATACAAAATAATATAATGCCGTTAGGTTGTCAGTTGAATATATAAAATAAATCTTTAATCACTTTGGGAAATGTTTTTATTATATAAATTTTTCTCTCTTGTAGAATTTTGCCTTGAAAAAATATAAAAATGCTGCTCTGGGAGGGCATGAATTTTGAACATGGAGAGTTTTTGTTTTTTGTTTTTTAAACTTGGTTGTCACTTAGATTTTACTTTGTGCTACTCTAGAGTGGCCATTAAAACATTTTTTTTTCTATTATTTGCTGTTCTTGATTGGCAGCAAATTGAATTTATTTATACATTTATAAAAATATACAAGATTACTTTAATTTTTGTTTTAAAATTTAATTTTTCTGACAGTTGATAGAATACCCTGGGGAAAAACTAAAAAGGAGGCAAGTAATAACTTTTTTCTTCTAAACAGACTTTACAGGAAAAAAAGAACATACACGTAACCCTGATATAATTCATTTAACATGATTAAGACTCATGATTCCATCCCCCTGATATAACCACTCTTTAAATTTTTAAACCAAATTCCAAACTAATCTATTAGTTTAAAAATATTTAAGACATTAAGTAATTTAGGAAAGCAGTTAGAATGAATGAAATGATTTCTAGATACTACTTAATTTTGCTTGGAATGTTATATAATAAGTTGGTATTTTAGAATTAATTTATATCTATTTTTTTCCACTGGGAACATTGTATTTATTTGATTTTGTAAGCCTGGCCTGATAGTATGCCTAGACAGAAGTCCAGGGCCCTGTGGAGGGGACGCATTTCCTGGAAGAATTCTCTGTTGTATATGGAAAAACCCTAGCTCAGAGTAGAATTCTTGCCAAATTGTCATAAGCTATTAGATTCTAGTTTAATACTATGTTGCTTTATATCACAACTATCTTTTTTCACATTGGTTTCCATAGTCTTAAAATACTTGAGGGTCTACTTGAAAGGTGAATTAAATATTTTGTTAATTTTACAAAACATTTTCTTATACCTAAAACTAGAGACCCGGTGCATGAAATTTGTGTGGGGGAGAGGGGTGTCCCTCAGCCCAGCCTGTACCCTCTCACAATCTGGGACCCCTCGGGGGATGTCTGCCTACCCAGAACCCCTCAGGGGATCTCCCCCTGGGGATCAGCCTGTGCTGGCAGGCAGACATCCCTCTTGCAGCCTGGGATCCCACTCACAGTCCGGGATCCTTACCGCTCCTTACCGCCCACCTGCTTGCTGCTCCTTAGCGCTGCCGCGGAGGTGGGAGAGGCGTGAACCTGGCTTCTGGCTGAGTGGCGCTCCCACACTGACCACCAGGGGGCAACCAATGTTTTCTCTTATTTCTTTTTGTTGTTGTTAAACATATTTTTATTGATCTCAGAGAGGAAGTAAGAGGGAGGGAGGGACAAAAACATCAATGATGAGAGAGAGAGGATTATCGTTCGGCTGCCTTCTGCATGGTCCCATACTGGGGATCAAGCCCAAAACCCAGGCATGTGCCCTGATCAGGAATCGAACCATGACCTCCTGGTTCATTAATTGATGCTCAACCACTGAGCCATGCTGGCTGAGCATCAAGTTAGTGTTTTTATTTTCTTCAGCTAAATACCCAGAAGTGGAATTGTTGGATATTTTTAATTGTGGATTTCATTTTTTTCAAATAGTTACAGTCCTTCTCAGATATTTAAATGTAAGTTCATTCAGAGATAATAGTTATTAATTTATTAAGTGAATTTATCATTTGAATTTTAACAAAGCTACAACATTTTGAGCTTTAAAAACTTAATGTTAGGTATCACTTAGGTTTTTTTTAACTGTGATAAAATATACATAATGTTAAATTTACCATTTTAGCAGGTTTTGTTGTTGTTGTTAATCCTCATCCAAGGATATTTTTTCCATTGATTCTTAGAGAGAATGGAAGAGAGGGAGGGAGGGAAAGAGAGATTTATGTGTGAGAGAGAGATTGATGTGAAAGATCACATCAATTGATTGGTTGCCCACTGCACACATCCCAACTGGGGTCTAGGGGATCGAACTTGCAACCCAAGTATGTGCCCTTGATTGGGAATCGAATCCTCCACTCTTCAGTGTGTGGGCCAAAGCTCTAACAACTGAGCACACTAGCCAGGGCCCATGTTAGCAGTTTTTAAGTGTACAGTTCATAGTATATAAGTACTACATTCACATTGTTGTGCAGCTAGTCTCCGGATCTGTTTTCAGCTTGCAAAACTGAAACTGTACCCATTAAGCATCAATTCCCCATTCTCCTTTTCCCCCAGTCCCTGGCAACCATCCTTCCACTTTGTAGTATTAATAATAGGAATCATACAGTGTGTTTCTGTGACTTATTTCACTTAGTATAAATCTACAAGGTTCATCTATGTTGTAGCATGTGTCAGAATTTCATTTCTTTTTAAGGCTAGCTAATATTCCATTGTACGTATATACCACATTTTGTTTATCCACTTATCCATCAGTGGACATTGAAGTGGCTTCCATCTTTTGGCTATTGTGACTAATGCTGCTGTGAGCATAGGTGTATAATGATCTCTTCAACACCCTGCTTTCATTGTTTTTTGGTAGATACCCAGAAATAGAATTGCTGAATCTTATGGTTATTCTATTTTTAATGTTTTGAGGAACCACCATACGGTTTTCCAAAGCAACTGTACCATTTTACATTTCTGCCAACAGAGGACTTTTCATATTTTACATATTTTTATGTGTAAGTAAGCTATATATATCTTTTTCACCAAACCTTTAAATTTATTAACACTGTTTATAACGTCTTAAGTATCTGTAGTTATATGATCCCCACACGCTTATATTGATTATTTAAGTCAATTCTCCTATTTTAAAAATCAGTGTTGCCTGGGATTTATAGATTTTATTTATCTTTTCAAATAATTGATTCTGTGCTTTGCTGATACTTTTTATTGTATATTGTTTTTATTTTGTTCATTTATTCTTATTCTACTCTCTGAGTTTGTTTTGCTCTAGGTATCACACTCTTTGGATCTGATTTGTGTTTGTACATGTTCTCCTGAGTTTGTGTGATTGCTCTCCCTTCTTTCTACCCCTTCCAAAACAATTTTCCAGGAGCACCCAGGGTTTTGTTTGTTTATATGTATGTTTGTTTTAATAAGGAGAATAAATAGGGGAGGAAAGAAGTAGAGATGCTAGAAATTGTTATCTTTCAGCAATAGGCTTTGGCCCCATTACCCGATTTACTTAAAGTTCTGACATACTCTGATTGACAAGATTATCCAATGCAGTCTGTAACAGTGTTATTTCCCCCCTTCTGTTGCAGGACCCGTTGGGGCCCAGCCCCTACTCATGGTGCCCAGAAGACCTGGCTATGGCACCATGGGCAAACCCATTAAATTGCTGGCTAACTGTTTTCAAGTTGAAATCCCAAAGATTGATGTCTACCTCTATGAGGTAGATATTAAACCAGACAAGTGTCCTAGGAGAGTGAACAGGTAAGAATCATGAAGCATGGAGATTTTTTGCTGTTGGTATTTGTCTTTGCCATAATAATTGCTTATCTTGTATATCCAAATAACAATGATAATGTCTAGCAGTTTGACTAAGAACACATGGTAATTTGTTTTGAAATTGATTGTACTTCAGAGATGTGTTAGTAGGTAAAATCTTCTAATAGCCCTGAAAATTTTCCATTGTAACATGAATATTCTCTCTGTGATGATAAAAAAGGTCCAAGTCATCTTTAGATGTTTTTGAAATCAGGCTGAGCAGTTTTTTCCTTTGCTTTTAGGTACTATATCTTTTATCTCCCCACTCCACCTTATTTACCCTTTTCTATTGTTTTCTTTAAGATGATAGTAGTGGTAAAGATGGTGTTTGTCATGGCTTCATGCTTTCTGTTCTCCTGATCCTCAACTCCTAACTGTTTCTTAATCTTATATAGGAACAAGTACATATAGTATGTAAAGGATTTTCAATCTGCTCTCAGTAAGTTTCTTCTCTCACATTCCCCAAATACTCTATATGTCTGTATGTGTGTATGGCTGTAGTTTAGGTAATACAGGGAATATAAAAGGAAATTATGATGTAGTGTAACCCCATAAAGAGGTTTAAAAAAAGAAGACTCATGTATAAAACATTTAGAAAACAATGATACTCAGTATTTTGGTTTGTAATATCAAATACCCCAGGCTTTTCTTATTCAATAGCTATTATTAAAGCCTTCATTTAAGACATAGGTGAGTACACCTGAAACTTATCTAATGGTGTAAATCAATGTTACTTCAATTTTTAAAAAAAGATGTAGATGGTTCTTTCTGTCAAGAAATTTGTAATTTAGTGGCGATAAGACACATAAGACATATGAAGTGATGAGTACTAAGAAAGTTTGTGACAATGTAAAAAAAAATCATATGAATGTTATAATTAACATGTAATGCAGAGTTCTTTCTGAGGTCAGGAAGGGAATTGTGGTTAATCATCACCCAAGAATGTTTTTATAATTTTAGAGAGAGAGAGAGAGAGAGAGAGAGAAGAGAGAGTAGAGAGAGAGAGAGAGAGAGAGAGAGAGAGAGAGAGAGAGAAACATCAGTCAGTTGCTTCCCCAGACTGGGGATTGAGCCCTGGACCCTTTGGTGTACAGGATGACATTCCAACCAACTGAGCCACACTGGCCAAGGCTGATAACCTTTTTAATAGCTGAAATCCAGAAAGGTTAAGAGGCTAACTCAAGAGCACACATTTTGGTAGCAAAAGTTAGAACAGAACTCTGGAATCCTGACTTGATAGTCATTAAAAAGTATTTGTAAAGCAAGAAGAAAAGGAATTGAGTTAATCTAAAACAGTTGGAAGAATTGTGGATAACTATAGTAAAAAGAACACCTTTTAATGATGAGGCAGCACTATTGATGGATGAATAAAGAAGAATATCGATAGATAGATAGATAGATAGATAGATATAATAGACTACTACTTAGCCATAAAAAATACTACATTCTTGCCATTTGTGACAACTTGGATGGACCTGGAGGGAATTTTGCTAAATAAATCAGACATAGAAAGACAATTACCATATGATTTCACTTCTATATGGAATCTAAAACTAGCATAAATCAACTTTATACTTTATTAATAATAATGACTTGATTTTAAATCAACATCTGGAAAACTTACTCCCCTTATTTTCTTCAAAAAACTAGCTTTTGTCTTAACTTTTTTGCACTATTACTACATAACTAGTCAGTTAAGGTTGTTGGTTGGCTTCTGAAATTAGTTTAGTTCTTACACTTCAATAACTAGAATTCTGGAATTTAAAAGGAACTAGATAGAACTTTACAATTCCTTTTCAATATTACCTAAACAGTTATGGGCCAAAATGCAGCAGTATTTAAATAAACACATATGAGGTTTCTCTTGTCTACATGCCACAAGCTCAGATATTTGGCACTATGGCATTAATGATAATAGCAGAATGATGTGTTGTAGCAAAACAAATTTTCACTTTAGTTAGAGGAGTTTTCTTGGACAAAAATTCTTGTGAGTCTTTTTGTGAGTCAAGTTCTCTACTTTAGACTTTGTCTATTGGTTTTCTTTTCCTTTCCTCATCCCTTTGGGTGTGTGTATGTGTGTCTTTTTTTTTCCTTCCTATTTAATGATTTTGATTGAAAATGATCATTTGGTCACAGAGCATGTTTGTTAAGCAGCTTTCAAATGTTTCTAGTTTTTTTTAAACAAGTGAATGCTCTCAATAACTAAAAATAAAATATTTTTAGAAATAACATGACCTAAAGTATAAGTTCTGTAACTAGACATTTTATGCGAGTTTGTCCAGCTACTAAATATATATGGGGATAAACCTTCAGTAGAAAGTTATGCACTTATTTAGAATCATGGTATAATGAAATACTTTGGAAAAATTGTATATACAGCATGATTGTAACTAGAGGGTAGGGGGCAGGAAGAGAATAATCAAAGAACTTATATGCATATATGTATAACCCATGGACACAGACAATAGTCAGGTAAAGGCCTCTGGATGGGGCAGGGGTTGGGTGGAGGGCATCAATGGGGGGAAAAAGGGAACATCTGTAATATCCTCCTATCTAATAAAAGAGAAACATGGTAATTAGCCGTACGACCGCTACCCTTCCCATTGGCTAATCAGTGAGATATGCAAATTAACTGCCAACCAAGATGGCGGCCGGCAGCCAGGCAGCTGACTCGAACAGGGAGGCTTGCTTGCTCCAGTGACGGAGGAAGCCAAGCTTCCCCGCCTGCCTTGCCAGCCCTTCAGCTGCTCTCTAAGCAACATTGTAACAAATATAGAAGCTAAACAAAACCCCAGGCTTCAGCCAGCAGGACTGCAACATTGTTTCAAATACAGAAGGTAAACAAAGGCCAGAAACCTGCTTTCAGCAGCGGAGGTCTCATAGCTGGAGCCGAGCCTCAGAGCTAAAGCTGGCCCAGAATAAAAAAAAAAGGAAAAAAGGACAGGTTGGGAGCTTCAGTCACCCGCCAGCCTGAAAACGGCCCTCAGCCCCTCACCCAGGCTGGCCAGGCACCCCAGTGGGGACCCCCACCCTTAAGGGGGTGTGACCAGATGCAAACAGCCATCATCCCCTCACCCAGGCTGGCCAGGCACCCAAGCGGGACCCCCACCCTGATCCAGGACACCCTTCAGGGCAAACCAGCTGGCCCCCACCCGTGCACCAGGCTTCTATCCTATATAGTAAAAGGGTAATATGCCTCCCGGCACCGGGATCAGCGTGACAGGGGGCAGCGACCAAACCCCCTGATTGCCCTGTGGCTCCGTGTGTGACGGAGCAACCTCCCAATCCGCCCTGCTCTGTGCATGACAGGGGGCGGCACCCCAACTCCCCAATCGGCCCTGCTCTGAGCCCGACCAGGGGCTGCACCTAGGGATTGGGCCTGCCTTCTGCCACCCAGGAGCAGGCCTAAGCCAGCAGGTCATTATCTCCCGAGCAGTCCCAGACTGCGAGAGGGCACAGGCTGGGCTGAGAGACCCTCTCTCTCCCCCAAGTGCACAAATTTTTACATCTGTAATATCCTATATAATAAAAGAGAAATATGTAAATTGACGGTCCCTCCGCTCTGCTCACCAGCCAATCAGGAGTGAGTATGCAAATTAACCCGACAAAGATGACGGGTTAATTTGCATACGCAGGCGCCGGGCAGAGGGCAGAGCGGGAGAGCCGGCGGAGAGTGGAGCGGCTTAGGGAAATTGGCTCCCCAAGCCGCCAGACAGAGAGCAGAGAGGGAGAGCTGGCGGCTTGGAGGACTTGGCAGAGTGGGAGGCCATGGGACAGAGAGCAGGAAGGGAAAACCAAGATCGCAGGGAGCACCAGGAATTCTGGGAATAGTAGTTTTGGTGGCAGCCCCAGGACCGGAAGCGGAAACCCAGAGCACGAGGAGCACTAGGAATGCTGGGAATCGTAGTTCTGGTGGCAGACGGATCTCCTAGACCAGTGGTTCTCAACCTGTGGGTCGCGACCCCTTTGGTGGTCGAACGACCCTTCCACAGGGGTCGCCTAAGACCATCCTGCATATCAGATATTTACATGACGATTCATAACAGTAGCAACATCACAGTTATGAAGTAGCAACGAAAATAATTTTATGGTTGGGTCACAGCATGAGGAACTGTATTTAAAGGGCCAGAAGGTTGAGAACCACTGTCCTAGACACTAGAGCAGTGATGGCAAACCTTTTGAGCTCGGCGTGTCAGCATTTTGAAAAACCCTAACTTAACTCTGGTGCCGTGTCACATATAGAAATTTTTTGATATTTGCAACCATAAGAAAACAAAGATTTATATTTTTGATATTTATTTTATATATTTAAATGCCATTTAACAAAGAAAAATCAACCAAAAAAATGAGTTCGCGTGTCACCTCTGACACGCATGTCATAGGTTCGCCATCACTGCACTAGAGCAAAGTGAGCCTGGAGCAAGTTACTGTTGCAGTGGGGGATGGAGGTAAAGCAAAGGTGAAAGACATAAGTAAAATCAGAGTGTCTAGGAAAAATTAAAGGGAAGATACCCTGCAACTTCTAGGAAATTTCCACCAATGGAGCAAAGAAAAAAAAAAGCCTCTATTATTCTGTGAGCAACAACTAAACTGAGTTGGGGTCTCAGACAATTCGCTCATATGATTGCAAAGACAGACAGAAACTCCCAGATTGGAGAGGGCTTCCCTGAGGGCTCCCAGATTGGAAAGGGTGCAGGTCAGGCAGAGGGACCCCCACACCCCCAGTGCATGAATGTCGTGCACCGGGCCTCTAGTTTTCAATAATAAAGATAAATTTAAAAAATAAAATTAAAAAAAATCTATTTTGGACACAGATAAAGATTTGAAAGAATCATAAAATAGTTGATAGATGTGGTTGAATTTTTAAGGGGTTCAATTTTCTTTTATAAATTAAATGTTAGATTAATTGTGCTATTATAATTACTGTTATTATGATTAAGGACAGT